ATGGAGGGGGGGGGGAATACCTGAATTCTGCCTTGTTGTCCAAAGTTCATCATGAGTTCCCAGTTCTGTAACAGTCCATCAAAAAGCCTGCAGTGATGTTTTGTATGCTCAAGATTAATAAAAGATTATCCTTGCATCTTCTGCAAAGGTGGGGGGGAGCTCTGTCAGTTTGGATAGGGACCATTGCCAAACAGCAGGGTGACCAGATGTCCTAACCACAAAGGAGAACAGGGCACTGCGAAATGGAGAACATGCAAGAAAAATGTAGGAAATGACCGAATAAAAGCTAAACACACTCATATAAATCCATGCTTCTTAGTCAGGCTCAAAATGGAGGACACTTGAAATTCCTCCTGGACAGAAGATTGAAATGTAGTGCATGTCTGGGAAAAGGAGGCGGTCTGGTCACCCTGCCAAACAGCCACTTTCAATCTCATTTCCTTGGATCTCAATAAGACGAAGGTCCAGACTTTGACTGAGACATTCTAAGAGTGGCATGTTCTTGTTTTTTAAATCATTTCTTTTTACTTTGGCTGCATAGAGTCACTGTCCGACTGAACGGTGAACCTCCGCTTCACTCCCAGACTCTTCCAGAATGAAACATTTTCCTTCAGAGTTGCCACATACGGTACTTACTTGGCCTTGCTCAAGATGTCCTTAATCCTGACCAGTTTTCCAGCCCTTGCCAAGGAAACGCAAGGACCATGACATTGCCATCATTATTCTTTACTGATAGGATTAAATTCTCAGGATAACAAATACGGTTGCTTTTGCACCATACATAGCATTTTGCAGTAAAGTTCAATTTCAGTCTTACCAGAGAGAGCCTTTTGCCAGATGCTTGTTACATCTGTCACCTGCCTTTTTGCAAAAAGACTTTGATATGGTTTTATTTCAGCGATGGTTTTCTTCTTGCTGCTCTTTTATAAGGCCCAACCTTGTGGATTTTTTGGATTACATTTGTCCCATGGTGTTTCTCCCTTTTCAGCTCCAGCTCCTTCAGTGACCATTGACCTCTTGGTTGTTTTTCTGACTAATGCCTTCCTTACCTAGTCACCATCCACTGTTGGTGGACAGTCTTCTTTAGGCAGAGCCAGACTGAAATATATTATTTCCATTTTGTAATAATGGATTTAATATTGCTTCAGGAGATACTCAATTTTGGATAGTCTTGATAA